TTTTCGAAAATAAATATCTGAAAGGTCATTTAGGTAATGTTTAAAACAATTTTCGTGCATTGAACAAAAGTAAAGTAAAATTATTGTACCATAAGGAAGCAATAAATAAATAATTATTTAATTAGTCAATGTTAAAATTTTCATGATGGAAGATATATATATGTATAGGTAATATCGATGATATGGTACAAAATACTATAGCTCAAATGGTAGGAATGATTACTGAGGTCTGTGTAGCTTTTATTGCAACGTACTAAAGCACCCTACATGATTCACAATTCACTGTTACTACCCCTGTGGAGTTTGCTCCTTGATTAAATCGTTAAAATGAACGAAAATGAACCCCCTTGGTGAGGGGGCAGAGCCATTTTGACCATTTATTCAAATGACGCGAGGGGTTGTTCCTTTTCCGATTGGTAAGAAGCCATCCCCTTCGATACCACAGATAAACATTGACTAATGCTTTGCGTTTATCTGGACTTTCGGCTTATCGAGCCATTTTATTAGCTCTTGCCGCTGACTGGGGGTATGACCTCTGAACTTGCCCTTGCGTTTAACGGAGGGTTAGGAGTCTTGGAATCAAAAAAGGAACAGGGTGGGGAATCTTGTCAAATGATAGCTCTTGTTTGTTCCTTTTCTTTCTCGTTCGACATTTCTGTATCCCCATGAATTGTCGTACGGTGGAAATAAAAAAAAAATGTAAAAACTCGTCAGGATACCAGGGGTTCGATGAAGGATACTAGGGTTGCTGAGGAACGCAAATCGACTAGAGCTACCCCTCGTACCGTTAAGGTGAAACACCGTAAAAGAAAAAAAGGTCAGAGAAATAAAAAGAGAAAAAAGGGACTCATAGTTTTGGATAGAGGGATGACCACACTCACCAATGGAAAGGAAGACCTTTCAGACCTGATAAAGTCATATAAAGTAGTAGATTTGCATAAGATAGATATGTATATGCAAGAACTCTGGATAAATATATATCTTTCAAAATGTATTTCGAAAAATATCCGAACATATACGAGTCATCTCCAAATTAATTTCTCTACAATATCCATGAACTTTTAAGATCCTTTTTTGCGCAGTCAAACAAATTACAATAATATTCATAAAATATATATTTTTCAACCCGGTTCAAAAAATAAATCCTTTTTCTATACTTTTTCTATACTTAGTTCTAAATCACAATTGACGACCGCCACGAGGGATCTGGGAAATGAAGGAAACCGAATTAAGATAAGAACTTAAATAATATTTATTATATGGCCAATTTTTGTTGTGTAATATATGTTAAATATGCCGGAAGAGTGAATGAGAAGTAGTGTAAATGGACGAACTTTGTCGTTTTGTCTCAATTCGATAATTCCAATTTAATTAATGTTGATTGATGTAGAGACTTATTTTTAAGAGTTTTTTTTAAATATTATTTAGGCTTTCTAAACAAAATAATTACATTGTTTTTTTTTATGTTCCGAGTACTTGAAAAAGAATTCGTTACAGCGTGGGTGGTCACACGGGTGGGTATGTTATTTTCGCGGTGGATTTGCCGCCAGCACAACAAATCAAATATGTGGCTGGTAGGGAGATAAAAAAAATACGTATTCCCGTAGTGGCCATGTCATTTGCCTGAACGCTTCAGGCTGTCGGATAAACGTTGACTGTCGCGCTTTCATATCCGCCAGTGAATACAATTTTTGTTTTGTTAAACATATCATTCGAAATTTCGTATTTCGATCCGCTGTTCACCAGTCGATTACGGATACGAAGATAGGGACATCCCTCTATCCTCCTGATCTCTCAATACTCGGCTATCGAACGACTACCAGATAATCCGTTATTTCGTGATAATTTTCGATAACCGAATAAGCAATGCCAACTGTATTATTATTATACTCTACCGCATTATTACTTATTTTAAACGAGGTTATGCTAATATTAGATATACCTAATTAGGTATACATAATCTTAGCTCTAGGTATACCTAATTTTAACTCAAAGATACACAGAAAGTGTAACTGTTGCCGAGTCGAAAAATAAGTCCTGTTTCTATACTTTTTCGTTTTTCTCGGCAGTATGCAACAAATAGAACTAGATCTGAAACAAAAGAACGAGATCAGTCTCACCAGGTCTTATGTATCGCACCACCAGACCTAGACCAGTGTGAGAACAAAATTAAAGCCATTAGGATAGAAGCAGTTATAATTTTTTGACTCGGGCGGATTGTCTACTCGAAATGGAACTTTTTTAGACAATTCAAATTTGTAAAAGTAACACATTTTTTCAAATATTTTCTGCGTTATATTACGTTAAAATGGCAATTGCAAAGTAAAATATTTCCAATGCGGTATCTTTTAAAAGTGACGAGAATCAAGAGTCGAGGGTGAACCAGATTCCTTGGGTAAAACTGCAAGCTAATTATTTTTACGAAAAGCTAGCACAAGCCAGGAACGTAATAATATTCATCTAAAGGGGCAAAAGATGAAAAATGTAAAGAAAATCTGTATAGTGTGAATATCAGAGCTGCGAAAGTAATTCCGAGAACGAGAATCAACGTTGGGAATCTCATTAGTGCATATAGAAATTTATAAATAAAGGCGTCGTTTTGAAAGGGTACATCACCCGCCAATAGCTTTTCCAGCGTCAACGACCAGATGCCAATTATTCTCCTACTAATTAATATCATACCTTCTCTTGCTTCAATATCCTTTAATGACACACGTCCTAACGTGGTGTTACAGCAAACTGCACGGGGGCATCTAGTATGAATAATCGAAAGATAAATAAATAAGAAGTTATCAGAAAGAACAGTGTGTTCGGATGCACAGTATTATGCACCCTTACTTGGCAGTTCGTAAGTATCGGGTTTGACTTCCGATCAGAACTCGTAATTTTTTGGAAAATCCCCCCCCCCTCCTCTCCTCTCCTCCCCGCGCTCCCTGGTGAACTCATGTCCACGTCTTAACGTAAGATAAAAATTCGCAAGATACCAGTTCGTAAAGTATTTTCAGTAAAATTATTTCACGGGTGTTGCAATATATTTCTACGTGTTTTACATTTCAACGTGAATAAAAAAACCAAGCATAACTTTCCAAGAAACTCGACAGCTTCCCAATAGGAAATATTCTCATGGCTTACTAAAACGTTTAACATGGGAGACGAATATTTACCGTCTCCCAGTACTTGCATTTGGGACATCCTTTCTTAAACACAGGAAGTTTTGACGAGGCGACGAATAGGAGTAACAATTTTACGAACCATCCTTGACGGCAGCTGTGGACAGCTAAGGGTAGTTAGTGAGTATCTAGATGTCAGCGTCAGCTCTCGTTATATATACAGCTGCATATTTTTCACAGTTCAACACCGAATGAATCATTTTCTCCCGATTCACTTGCCGGTTTTCTATGAAAAGATACGTCACCCATGGAAAGATATATGAATGTATAATGACCGCGTCATCCATATAAGAAAAAAATGCGTTATGCATTACTGAATATTAAAAATTTTTATTTACGAGGTATTCGCGAATGATACAGCCTTAGAGATGTATGTGATATTCCACGAAAAATTCGCGAATTGAAATACGAAAGGGAAGAAAAATATTAAAGGGAAGGGATTATCGAAGGGATATCACTTGATATAGCCATAATGAACAATTGTTCATCCTCTCTTGCTTAAAACGTCCTCATTGAAATTGGTTTAACCTAACCTAATATTCTACGTTCTGAAAAGAAACATAAAAGTTTGAAAGTTTTTTTTAATAATGAATTGAAATAATTTGTAGAAATTTTTCTGTAATAATTAATGTTCCTAATTAAGGGCAGAATAGGCAAATTTAAGAATAATTTTGTTACGCTAATCGGCACGTAGCCACAAAACCTTTTAGACTTTAACGAGCGTTATCGAATATCCGGCTTGTGGTCATTCAATTAACTTAATTCGACCTAATGATCCCTCGATCTACCCCATTACAGTGTATCCTAGAGAGCTCGTAACTTCGTTGAATTTAATCGAAAAGAAAAACAAAAAATACGGTCATTATTTATACATATAACAAAATCAATCGCAGAATTTGGAAGAGAATCCATAAATATGGAAAAACCAAAAAGCAATTACTTGTTTATAAATAATTAACAGTCAAAAAGTAAAAGGAAAGCATACAATAATAAGATCGGCTTAATTATCCACGTAACATCCACATGATTCTTATCCTAAATGATTCCTCGTGCAATAACGCAATTTCAAAAAATTTCAAGCAATATTAATTCGACATATTTGTACATGCACATGTAAATCTCGAATGATAAGTATTGTAATAAACAACTTTAATACTCAAATTGATAAGGAATAAGTATTTTGATGTAAATAAATTGGTATTAAGGCTAATAAGCGACGTCACAGCGTCGCTGCTAACACCCTTGGTCTCGCACAAACTCAGAAATAAATTTGAAATTCGCTCCGACAGCCGGAACGGATACCGGGAAAACGGTCCGTTGCATATGTTACATATCTAATTAATGTGCGGCCGAAGGGACGAAGGCAGACGCTGAAAGGGGTTGAGTTTATCTACGGAGATAAACTGAACTGGTTGGTGTAAACCCTTGACACTGGGGGTTGCATAACTTTTCCGCTGACGCTGTTGTTTCGTGATACTTGACTAAAGGTTTCTACACAGTGATAAGCTTTATCAAAAATTTCAAGGCCCTTTCACACTTTTTATATCCAAATCTCGAGTACCTACCCTTACCTTGTTTTTTTGACGATGTTAAAATTGTCAGCATAAACAACTACCGTTTGTTATCGGTAAACGCTTTTTAAAAATAATGGTTTCAACAAATATTTCGAGAAATTTAAAACGTAACATTTTTATATTTAGTTTCATCTTTGATCCGGAAAACATCCCGTGTGGTCCTACTGTACAATAACTATTTACAATTCTTATATGTTTTATATAAAGTTCTGTAATAACTATTTACAAAAAATGGAATCTTTAATATATTTCATACTAATTAATCAGTCGTGTCCTTTGTGCGAGTCCACATGCCTCGATCGGAATCTGTAAAAAAAGAATAAAAAGGAAAGGATTAAGAAAAGCATAAAATTATAAAAAAAAAAAATTCGTATAAACATCAGTAATAATACATATAGAAAAAAAAATGTTCGAAGGAATTACGTAATCGGACTGAATGAAAGTATGATAAAGGAATTTTTACTGGCAGGACTGAATATGCTGTGGAACGTATGCACTCTTTTCAGCTAAACGAGAAGCAATTCCAAAGAGAAATGAGCCTGGACTGCAAGTCTGGGGTAAAATTGACCAGGTTGTAAAAGCACTGACCAGGATATAGCGACTAGTGGAGGGCACGCGTGGGCCGTGTATGTAGGTATAGCGAGAGGGAGAGAGGGTCGATTATGGCGAGAGGGTAAACGCAAGAGTAGCGCTGTAGCCAAGCCGGTACACGTAGAATATGTAGAGGTAGGGATGCCGGGAGACCATTTTGGCGAGAGTGACATTCAGAGGTCTTCTGTATTCATGGGAGAGAAGCCAGTGCAGAATGACACGGCTGCCATTATCCGTTTCATACCGAGAGGCTGGACTCACCCGTCCTCATATCCTACCTAACCCCCGTAGTAAACGGAATATGACCTCGCTAGAGTAGAAACAACAAACCACGTTGGATTCGTTTCTCGAATATCTGATAGGGTTCCGTGGATATTTTTAGGGGAAATCTGATTTTCCTTGCTTTTTATAAGCAGCATAAAACATATATCTTTCTGTTTCGATCATTCCGATCTTATATGGTTGACCGATGGTACAAAGAATTGCTGGAACGAGTTATGAGATTTTTATGAGACACGTAGGACGGTATGGTGGGTAGGATTGACCTTGGTAATAGTAATAGATTTGTATGATAGATTAAGTCATAGTTTTTATGGCAAGAAAAGAATTCCGCTACCGAAATTGCAATTTATGTTTTTTTTTTTTCCTTTTAATCTTTATGGTGAGAAATCCTTTATAAGGTCTTTCTAGCCTTACAAGGAACCTACCAAATCTGGACGCTAGCCAAGTCGAGTCACTCAATATTGGAGGAGCGAAAGGTGTTCGACAAGTAATCATCGCTGGGTATAAAATAATGTAAATTTTCATTGTTCCGATTGGAGCTAGAAATATTTAATTTTTCATAAATATCATGGAAAAAATCATTATATACAGTGTGAGTATAATTTTGGAAAATTCACTCGCTACACATTGCCACTTTTATTTTTCACTCAGTGGAAATCCGAAATATCCTAAGACCATTTGTATAGGGTAATTTTTTCTGTCGATTGTTTTCTGTAATATATCTCTTTTCGAAAAATATTCTTGCTACGAGGAATCAATCAAGCGAACGACACATTACAGTGCTTAAGATGAGAGTCCTTCGTTCCTCATTCCTCTTCCTTCGGAAGGAGAACAATGGCTAGAATCAACGTTTTATATTCCCGTTGACGAAGACAAATAAAAACGTCCTCGGAAGGACTCTCGGCAACGTTATGTCGTTCCAGCCCGATTTCATTTGTTCGTCCTTGATCGAGCACTTCCTGCGCGACAGACCGTGTCAATAAGATCTGCCGAGATTTAAACGGATGAGAAAAAAATATTGTTGGGGAATGAAAAAAAGAAAAGCGAAATAAAAGAAAGCACGCCCACTCGAAATGTCCCCAACCATTAATTTCAATTCTGTACTTCTGAAAGACGTCCTTTGGCGAGGTTGTACGCGATTCATTTAAAACCCAAGTACAGCAATATCCGGTAGTCAAATATACCATTTATCCTATTGCTGAATTTCTTTCATTCCCAACATGAGTAAGCACATATCGAATATCTGACAAAGACGATTCAGATTTATAAAAAATCGCTGCAAAAAATAATGGACGTTCTTTAACAATGAAACGCGTTGACATTCTTTTTCAGGAGTAATGCTGTGATATTAAGCCTGCTTCGGTGTAAAGAAAAAGAAGAAAAAGAGAAATGAGGTCTAACCGCAACAATTAAATGGACAAATCTCATTGTCATTCATTTCCTGACGGAAATATCGGGCAACGTCGTTTTATTTGACAGTGGGTGCCGCAAAATATGATATTGCAAGAGTACCAGGCGCATCTGTCCTAGATCCATTGGTGCATTGTTGTCCCATTGAAATTGAGAGCGATTAACGAACCTTTTCGAACTATCAAAATTTACCAGAATATGCATGTAGGGTGTATGTTGACGACCGTAGCATAAAGAAAAAAATGGCCTGGTGCCATCAATTCTCATTGGCTGCCCTCACGGCAGTATTCACTGACTTAAACAGTTCTCGTAACCTCCACTTAGCCGGCTGGCACCCGGTGACGCTTAAATTGCCTATTCAATTCAATTCCTTTCTCCTGCTCGGTACTCATAATTCATTCGTCAGGAATTCGTCCCGCGTTTGCTACTCGAATGCACGAATTTCGATCGGGTAACACGTGATTATCCAATTGGCACCCCAGGAAACTTTATGACAAGACTGGGAGCTTTATTACACGTTGGTCAACAATCTTACTATTAATTCATGATGGTTGAAGGAATAGCTCATTCGTCTGCTGGAAGGTTACTGGGACATTTCATGATTTACATAGAACTCTAAACCAGTATGGCGATTAGTATAGGATTGAGAAAAATACTACCACGAGAAATTGGTGTACAATTAATATTAAATGGGCGTGAATCTTTATTGTGAAAGTTACACTGAATATTATTAGACTCATTCTTGTCATAATATTGCTGGGATACAATGTAAATTGTACTTTGCTAGCATTGTGTGACCGTAACAATTTCCATTTGAATACTTGTTGTTATATTTTTGAAATTGAAAGATGTGTGAATAATCAAAATTTCTTTAAATGCCCTTATCTCACTGAAAAAGCGCATATTCGTTAAAAATGACTTTTATTCGTAACCTAGGGTAAGAACGCTGTTACGAAAATTTTTTTGAGTTATTAGTAATAACTTTATTGGTATTACTAATAAGCAATAACTTATTTGGAAAAGTCAAATCCTCAGAACTTGAAAACAAAATTGAAAAATAGGTATTATACAATTTATTAGCTTATAAACGTAAACTTTTTTAAAACTTTATATTAAAAAATTATAGTCTTCTTAAAAAGTTTGTGAGGGAGGAAATTCAAAAATTTAGTAATACTTTGCTCCACGTTAAATTATCATGTTTATTTTTACTTCATACAGATCGTTAACAGTAAAGTAATAAACGTATGTGGCATGTAGAGAATAAATTTTGGAGCTTCCGAAACAATGAATAACAAAATGAATGCAATTAATATTTTGCAATGTTCAATTTTATACAGATATGATGCATGGTTGTGATAAGCTTTACTCAGTGAATCAAATGATTTAAGCAAATATTTTAATATGAAAACAAAAAATTCGAATAACGAGTTGAATTAATTTTTTAGGCTGCCCTGAGCACAAATTAAATAATTCTAATAATGAAATTTCACTGAGAGATTATTAAAACTGAAGCTTTTATAAATAATGAAAATGTAGCATTAACGCCAAAAGAACTTTGATATACTATTACATAAAGGAGAGATAAAATTTAATGCATTTGTATTGAATTAAAATTAAGTCGAGTGTCTATATGATGTACCATTACGAATACAAAACATAATTCCATTCATTGTGATAAGCTGATAAGTAAGATATGAGTCGATGAAGTATTACAAGGTTGAACGCATTAATTCAGATTTAAAATTTCCTACAGTTCATATCTGCATTAACAAAGGAAAAATACGTCAAGCAAAATCTGACCTGGTTTCAATAAAATTCCGATAGAAATTTTTTTGAAACTTCGTCAGACTTACGTCTTAACGAGCTTAACTTCGCAGCAGAATTTGCACGAGTAACAATGGTATAAGCGATAATATTTATAATTGCCCGAATTAATTAAAATACGAATTTGATATTTACACGGCAACACTTATCCGTCGGCATTCCTAATGATGTCGCAGAAACGCCCTAAGGTAGTCACTTCGTTGGACACCCGACCTTGCCCTAGGGTATCAAGTGTCACGACGCTCCAATCCGCAGGACAGGCGACAAAGATGTAATCCAGACAATCACCAATACGCACTCGAATTTCGTTGGAGAATTTACTGAGTATCTGAGGAATTATTTCCCTCTGTGTTGTATTTAGGCGACATGTATCATTTCGTTCGTTTTCAGTTGATTTAAAAATTGAATTGGTAACTTCATCTGAGTTTGATTTGCTCTTTGACAATTCTTAGTTTTTTTTTCATATAGCGTTATAGTATACATATACGTATGTGATACGAATAGCTTTTAGTATCATATAGAATATGGCGATTGAAGTGATGTTAATTGTAAGTTGGGAATAACGAATGCTGCGAAAAGTTACTTGACCTAATTAAGACTTAAAAATGTATAATGTATATACCGCATCATAACATTAAAAAAAGGACAGCTTATAATCTGTCAGAATTATTCTTAAATGTATTCAGTTCCCTGACAACTAGCTCATGTATCACTTTTATTAATGATAATTTTACAGACTTCGGTTAGTTCTGCTAACAAAGACAATCGATATTTTGAATCACTTAGAAATTGCATATTAAAAAACGCTAATTCAATTAGACAATGACATTTTTTTTAAATACTTTCCAAGCAGAATCTCGTCCTTTCCTGAATCGATCCGTAACTTGAAAAGCTTAACAAATTAATCGGCAATGATTACTTTTGATATAGGACGAAGCTCGTAAGCGATAATGGCACTTGACAAAAGCGGACTCAGTAATTGGACCATTCTCAAACAACAAGTGGCCGTGGTTGAAAGTCCTCGTGCCAATTTCTCGTAAAGATTTCGTTTCATTTCGCATACCTTTAGACTGGAACGAGAGTACGAATAATGGTTTGTACGAGTCTTCGTTTGTCCTTTTATACGACAGTAACGACTTCAATTCGCTTAAAAGTCGTTTGATTTACAAGATACATCCGAGAGATTCAAACGAAATTTC